GTTTAGGGTCTAGGGCTTAGGGATCTAAAGAGGCTCCAGAAGATGTTCTTTGGGATTTTGGGGTTGTGGGATCCCGGTTTACGGGGCTTTGGGGTGTAGGGTAGCGGTAGAGGGCACGTGGACCCCTAGTTTAGGATCATCTTCCTTGCCAGGCCCGATCCTAGGATCCTTGTGCCGTTCTTCGTTCAGGGAGCAGAGCTTACAATTGAAGGATCTGGTCGATGGAGCAAAATGGGAGTTTCCGAAAATACGGGTACCTTATTCTGGGGTCCTTATAATAAGGATCCTACTGTTGAGGGTACTATATTAGGGTCCCCTATTTTCGGAAACTCCCAAATATCAGAAGGGTCAGTATCATATTATGCAGATTGATGAACCTTGTGATTATTGTCAACGACCCGCAACCCTAAGCCCTGAACAAAGCGCTCTCCCGTCCAGGTTGGAAGCAACAACTTCTGCCAACAGCATCTGGATGACTTCAAACGCCTCACGCAGGACTTTGCAGACATCATCGAGGCTGGAGTTCGAGAATCACCAGCTTCTTTTTCACGGTGATGCTGATTGTCGCTACGGTTTAGGGTTTATCGTTCGGTTGCTGCTCCCATGATTCCCTCTATCGCTACCATTCGCAGGATGACAGCGATTATGGTGGATCAGTGATTTCGCCGTTTCTGCAATGCCGAATCCAGAAATCCAGCCGCTAATCAGTGAACCTTTGGCACTTTCCGTAGTTCGAAAGTCATAAGCTCCTCCGTTCCGCCTTGGAACGCCGATCAACTTGCGAAGTCCTCCTTCTCGCCTCTTCCACACCCTGCACGTTACGTTTGAGGCTTCGAGCCAACGAAAGGCTGCACTGAACCCGAAAAGTCGATCTTCCACTGTCGATCACCCAAAATTATCTATACTCTTCCTCACTAGGATAAGAATAGTACAGTATTCCCCAAACTCAAGGCTACTTCTTGAGACATCATTGCTCCCGGTCTCAACTCGCCGCTCTGGTCGTGTAGGTACAGCTCTATGGAGATCACTCCAACGACGAGTTTCGCATGGCCTGGGGTTTGCAAAGTGGGATGATTGTCGAGCCTAGTGCGTAGTGGCTTAGCCGGCGATCATGATCCCTAAACCCTAAACCCTAAACCCTAAACCCTAAACCCTAAACTCTTGGATATGGTGGCCTTGTATAACGCTTGTGTTGAGAGCCGGGTTGTCGGGAGGAGAGCAGAACTGAGGGCCAACTTGAGGTTGCGACAGGGGTTACTGCAAGGTCACCGTCAAGGCTGCCGTTACTTGTTGTTATCCGGATTACTGTAAAGGTTACCATAAGGTTACATTAAAGGTTACCGTAAGGTTCACAAAGTTAAACCTTCAACCCTAAACCCTAAACCCTAAACCCCTAAACACTAAAAGCCCGAATTCCTCTTCTACATGCTGAAATGCGCATGTTCGGATTTCTCCCTGCGAGGTTTGGGAAGAAACCCCGCGGCCACGAGCGGTCTCCTCCATCTTGGTGAGTGCAGGCATGAAGCCCAAAGGAATTCTAAGTTCATAAGTTCGGGTTTGGGGTTTAGGGTTTAGGGTTTAGGATTAGGGTTTAGGGTTTATGATTATGGAATCCTTAAGGGAAGGTGTTCTAAGGGGGGTCTATAACTAGGGTTTAGGGTTTAGGGTTTAGGGTTTATATAACCCAGTAATCCCCAATTCTCCCTAGTGCTCCCTTAGGTTCCCTAAAGCTCCCTATGACCCTCCCCCCTTGAGCCACCCTCCCTTAAGGATCCTTTGGCATGAAGCCCAAAGGAATCCTAGGTTCATAAGTTCGGGCTTAGGGCTTAGGGTTTAGGGTTAGGGTTTAGGGTTTAGGATTAGGGTTTAGGGGGTTGAGGGTTGAGGGATTTGGGGTTTAGGGCTTAGGGTCCGCGCCTTTACCCCCCCAAAGCCCTTAAATCTTGAAACCCTAAGCATGAAAGCCTAAACTTTAAACTGTAACTCTGGGATGCAAAGCTTTGTCAGCCTTTCTGTCGCCCCAGGCGTGACCCCGCGGAAGCACTGTAACCCTTCTTGGAGGACCATACTCTGGGTGTGGAGAGCCCAAGAAGGGAGCTCAAGTTTTCGATGGTTTAGGGTTTAGGGTTTAGGGTTTAGGGTTTAGGGTTTAGGGTTTAGGGTTTAGGGTTTAGGGTTTAGGTTGAAGATAGTGTAAGGGTTCTCTGTGGTTTTGTTTCGTTGGTCTTATCAGGG